CGCCCCGCCCGGGGGCTGGGGTAAGGCCAACCCCCCCCGCCGACTGGCTGGCAGCCTCGCCAAGCTGGCCGAGCCCGGCTCCCAGGAACGCTGGGCACTGACACTGCCTCGGGGAGCCAGTGGGCTTGGCAGCCATCCGGCCCGTCCTGTTGATACCTGAGTCTGGGCACTGTAAGAGAAGAGAGTTCATTTAGCTTGCCACTTTGGAAGTCCAAGGTCGAGGGCCACAACTGGTGAGGGTCTCCTTGTGAATGGGGTCCCAAGCTGGCAGAGGGGTCCCATGGCAAGACCTCAGCGGAGCGTATCTCTGTCCCTCCTGTTCGCTCTCCTCATAAACCCTCCGGACTCGACCCTGAGGGCCGACCCCGAGCGCCCTAATCCTGATCTTCTCCCAAAGGCCCTGCCTTTCAACACAAGTTAAACCCACTGTGTTTCTCTTATACCCTCACAATGCATCCGAATTCCAACACGCGGGCTTTTGGGACGCGTTCACACCATCGCAGCATCTGAAGTAACCGGCCCAGGGCCTGGAACACACGGGAACTCAGGTCGCTGACAGCAGCTGTGGCCCGGCTCCACACGCAAGGGCAGCACCTCTGGGTACACAGCTGACCGCCCTGCGACACACGGGTGCCCGGTTCGGGTTTCCACCGGGAACATCTAACAACACGCTTCCCAGAAATGAGATGGGAGGATTCGTCCTTTGAAACTGAAGCAATGGGTGTGGGAAGATGTCTTACTTACTCCTCGAAGGAGAGATCTTTCCGGACCTCTCGTGAACGAGTCTGCTCTGTACTGCCAGGATCTAACCCCGGGCCGGATCGCTGGGTGGACAGATGGACGCTGGTGGTGGGCTGGCTGGGTGAAGGGGGGATGAGCGGGTGGACGTGTGAGCGGGTAAGTGGGAGAGCAGACAGGTAGCTGGGGGCCGAGGAAAGGATAGGTGAGCAGGAGCGTGGGAGATCGGGCTCAGGGTAATGAAGCTGCTTCCACTCAACGGGTCTCTGCATCTCCCCCAAATTCAACACCTTTCTCAACCCCCCTCCATGGGTGGCCCTTCCTCTCCCCAAACACATACGTATTTAGGGTTACCCATTTTAAGCAGCTTAGACATTCTACAGGACACACATTTGCAGAGCCCTCAGGCAAGCCCGGATGGAGGCCTAGGAGGCAAGGCCCAGACCTCTGGCCATCGCTGTATGTCAGCAGCTGCAGTGTCCTGGGGTTCTTTCCAGACCTACCCCTGCCCTCGGGAGCCTGTGGACTCGCAAAGACCCCCGAGCCGCCGGGACACTTGGTATGGTCCTGGCCCTCTAAACTCACGAAAGCACCCCCTCCTCCTCAAGGAGAGGCGCACCGCAGTTCGAACCAGTCCGCAGAAACACAGCCCAGGCCTGCTCCCAGCCCCATCCCCGCGTCCAAGGCGGTGGTCCAGCCCAGGAGGCTTTTGTATGTGCCCGTTTTTCTCAGAGCTTTGGGCAAGATCTTAATCTGTTATTGCCTTGATAACAGAAATGCCTGAGACTGAGTAAATTGATGAAAAATAGAAATGTACTCACATACCTCAAGATTCTGGTGGCTAGAACATCTGAAGCCATCACAGAATGGCAGACAGTGGAACTTCCAGCAGACCAGAGCGTGGTCTGTGTCTGAGTGGCTCCGTGTCTCCGTCCCGCTGCTGGTACCCCACCAGAACTCAACCACAGAGGCCTGCCCTGATGGCCTCATCACACCCAAAGGCCCATGCAGGGGCTAAGGTTCCCTTTAACAGCTCCGCAGTGCAAGTGAGTCCCATGAGCCCTTGGGGGACGAGCCATCATCCAGACTTCCCGCTGCCTGTGGGTGGTGCAGGAGGGAGATGGGTGTGGCTGGGCCCGCGCCCACCCCGGATGGCATCAGCAAAAGCAGGAGTTTTTTGCTACTTCTCACAAGCTCTGGCTCCAACCTCTTCAGCCTGTTGGCCAACGGGCTGGAGGGCTTGGCCGCTGGCCTGCAAGGACAGGCTGGTCTCAGTGTCCAGGGGAGGCACTCACCCTGCCAGGGCAGGCTCAGAGATGGGCCGGGGGCCTGGGCGGCCCTCCCTGCTCCTTCTCCCTCTGAGCAGCCCTGTCTCTTTTGCAGATTGAACAGGAGGGTGTCGCAGTGAAGGGCAGCCCCCATTTCAACCCAGACCCCGATGCGGAGACCCTCTACAAAGCCATGAAGGGGATCGGTGAGTGGGTGTCCTCAGCCTTGCCGCGGCTGTGCCTCTCTGGGTCTCTGCCTCTGCTCAAGGCCTCTCCCCTTATGGCCCTGGGAAGTGGGTTCCAGGGGACAGAGAGGGAGTTGGGGTGTCCCCGTGACACCCTGGGATGGACTGCATCACCCAGACTCTCACAGTCCAGGTCTATTCCAGCAGAGGTGACACCTGTGTCCCCCAGGACTGGAGAGAGGGCCGGTGTTGTCCCTCCCTGAGTAATGGGGGTAAGGAAGTCACATGTCCTTGCTCAATTGACTTCGCCCATCGGTCTGAGTTTTCTCGCTTGTAATGCAACCCCAAGCCTGTGGGCCCCACACCACCATGAACTTCGAATGAGGTGGCACTGCAGTGGCACCTGATATGGGGTGTGCATGGGGGTTCTGTGGGGCAGAACCGGGACCTGGGGTCATCAGTCATAGGGGACAGGAGTCACGCAGGTCCTGTGGCTTGTCTCCTTGCCCTCTGGCTGGCCACAGAACCAGCTTCCCTCCTGCCCCCAGCATCTGCCCCCTGCTGCCCTCGGCATCTCTGGGAGTGGGAAGGGCAGGCTGGCTGGGATTTCACTAGCCCAGCCCAGAAAGCCCGCCGGATGGAGAGCCGGCCGCAAGGCCTGACCTCCCGCAAGCAGATCTCCATCGCTGGCAAACTGGGTGTTAGAAGGAAGTGCTGTTCCTACACAGGCCTGTAAGGACTGCTCTGTCCTCTGCTGTCTGTGAAGTCTTCAGTTATCTCCACTGCCCAGATAAGAAAACCGAGGCTCAGGGAGACAGGGCTGCTTGTCAAAGCCATGCAGTCAATTAGAAGCTGGGCTGGGACTCGGGCCAGTGGGCGGGACCCTCCGTTCTGACCCCTGACTGCGACTGCAGCCCGCACAGAGGACAGCAGGGCAGGAGGCCTGCCTGGAAGAACCCCACAGGCCCAAGGGTAATGCCCAGAGCCACCTGGGCCTCAGATTCTCCCCCTGGGAGGCTGGGCCTGAGCCACACCCCGCATTGTGTGAGGGGACTTGGGGAATGGGGACCTGGATCTTCACGTGGCTTGTTTGCACTAGGATAGTCATCTGTGCTTAGAGCTACCCAGGTGGGGTCCCCACTTTTCAGCCACCAAGCGTCTGCCCTCCCTACTCCCCTGCTGTCCCCAGTCCCCCGGAGTGGGGAGGCACTCATGCGGGTACCCCTGCAGGGACCAACGAGCAAGCCATCATCGACGTGCTCACCCGGAGGAGCAACACCCAGCGGCAGCAGATCGCCAAGTCCTTCAAGGCCCAGTTCGGCAAGGTCAGGGGGCAGGCGGGGTGGGAGAGTGTGTGTTCTGGAGAAGCCCAGGAGGCAGCTCCATGCGGACGAGGCCTCTCCAGAGCAGACCACTGTAAACGTGGGGTGTGTGTGTGTGTGTGTGTGTGTGTGTGGCTCCAGTGTGGCGTGGCCACGTGGCAATCTCCCCCATTTCTCCATCCCGTTGGGATTTTGGACGGCATGCACACACACGTGTCCAGCATCACTAGAGCTGGGATTCGAACTGTGGCTGGCCATGTAGGATCCTGCTCCCTTACCGTGTCAGGGCTGGCCTGCAGTTACTCTTCGTATCTGAAGTTTAGATTACCTGGCAGCCCTAACTGTAGCTCTGACCCTCGGGCTGTGTCTGGCCCCCTCCCCTCGCACCGCACTCCCCACATTGGCTCATAGGCCCCACCGTGGCTCTCTGTTCCTGAGCGGGGTCCCTTCCCTTCCCCACCGCCCAGGGATACAGGCCAGAGCTGTGTTTTCTCCGAGTGCCCGCCACCACGGGACAGAGCCAGACCCCGGAGGGCACTCAGTAAACACAGGGACAGACGTGAGCACAGCCGACCTCCAGGTCCCTACTGGCTCAGAGCCTTAGTGGTATTTAGGGAGATCAATGAGGGAGCCCAGACACCCCCTTGTGAAGCCAGTGCACACACTGCAGTTTCCCTCCTTCATCTCACGGCCATGCAGTGTTTTCTGCAGTTGACCCTTGGAGAAGCTGACGTTCAGAGAGACTGAGTCGCCCCAGTCCCAGAGCCTGGAGCAACAGGGCTGGGGTTTAAATCCATCATCTCCCTGCCGTTCTGTGCGGGTTAGCAGGGTGTGGCCTGGGGCTCCCTGTACACGTTGCCTTTAGAAGGAGACACTCACAGGCCCAGGTGGTGGCGCAGTGGTCACGCGTCGGGCCCACATGGGAGAGGACCTGGTTCATGTCCGCCGGACCCCCTGACATGGCCACACCACAAGGTACCCGCCCTCCAGGCCTCTGAGGCTGGGCGTGGATCCCTGCACAGGGACCTGCTGCTGGTGCTCCTCTGTCTCTCTCCCTCGTCTCTCTGTCTCTGGAAAGAAACCAGTAAACATTAAAAAGACAAAGAGGAAGAGATGCATGCCAGGCGGATTCCTTACTCCCTTCATTCCTGGCGTGCCTGCAAGGGCGAGTGACAGGCATTTAACCGTGCGCTAAACACCACGGAGCCGCCCTTGCGTCTGGGGGCAACGGTGATTTTATTTCACCCGTGCCGTCCTGTACCGAGCACCGCGCGGAGCTGAGTGCCACAGGCCTCACCGCCCCGAGCAGTGGTTAGAGAAGGAAACCTGTGCCTCCACCCACCAGGTGAAAGCACCGATGCCCCGCGGGACCGAGGCGCTGGCCCAGCAGTTCCAGCCACCACGTGGCGTGGCCAGGCGGGAGTCCCCGCACTCAGCTGGGCCTGGTGTACGACCGCTTCCCCTGCTCTCACTAGGACCTCACCGAGACCTTGAAGTCAGAGCTGAGCGGCAAGTTCGAGCGACTCATCGTGGCCCTCATGTACCCGCCTTATAGCTACGAGGCCAAGGAGCTGCACGACGCCATGAAGGTGCCAGGCGGGTGGCGAGGAGGCCCAGAGGCGCTCACGTGCCAGGGGGAGGCTGGCTGCTCCGAGCTCCCGCGAGCTCCTGCTTGCTCAGGCTGCCGCCCCACACCAGGGCAGCTGGCCTTGCCGTCTCGGGGCCTTAGGAAGCCGCAGTTGGTACTCTGGGAGGGCTGGGGCAGGCACACCAGCCTCTGCAGTGCCCTCGTGGCCTCTCAGGTCCCCCTTATTTCCTGCCCCTCACTTTGCTAGTACAGATTAAGGAGAAAGTGGGGCCCAGTAACCGTGCCCGTTCGCACTGAGAGGCCCTGTACAGAGCAGGTGGTGCTGGGCGTTTCCCTCCCACGAGCTCCAATCCTCCTTTAAGTTACTTGGGCTCTGGGGTCGGGCAAGACCACCCAGCTAGGGAGGGAGAGCTGAGAAGAACTTCCTGCCGCATCAGCCTCTTCAGTTCCCGTCAGGAGAGCTAAATGCGTGACATCCCCTGCAGCTGTCCCCTGCGAGGTTCCAGCAGCATGGACGGCTCTGCTGAGGCTCAGGCGCCTTGAGCAGAGGCTGTGGCTGCGCAGGGGCCAAGGGCCAAGCTCCAGCTCATGGAGGCTCCTATCCACAGGGCTTAGGAACCAAAGAGGGTGTCATCATCGAGATCCTGGCCTCTCGGACCAAGAAGCAGCTGCAGGAGATCATGAAGGCATATGAGGAGGGTAAGAGGCTGCAGAGAAAGGTGGGGCAGGGCTTGCTGGGGACAAGGGCCGCAGCTTGGGCAGCCTGGCAGGGAGCTCAGGCCGCCATGGAATGGACATTTTGGCTTGTCCACTGCGTGCTGAGCACCTGCTCTGCGCCTAGTGGTGAGGCTGGGCAGGCACAGCCCTGACTCTCAGCTCACAGCTGCTGAGGGACGGGCTGCTGTGAACACCTGCAGACCACAGGCCGAGCACAGCTGACCCAGGGGACTGGGAAGGCCATGCTAGGGCCCCACGAGCTGGGTGTGGGCCACAGGCTGGCCTCGTGCGTGTATGCAGGCCGCGAGGCAGGCAGTGGCTGGCTGGTCCTCCATGTGGGGAGCCTGGCGGGAGTTGGCCTGAGGCTTTGGCTTTGCCAAACGCTGTGAAACGGAGCTCGATGGGCAGCCCCTGGCCAGGCCCAGCGTTGTGCTTTGAGCTTGGGCATCCATGTCCCCTCTAGTTGAACAACTGCCCTGGGGACAGGCAGCTGCCACTTGGACACCCAGTCGCTCCGTCC